AATAAATAAATATGGAGGATTAAAATATTGAAAATTTCAGGCTCTGAAACAAAAAACGATATCAAATTGATATCTTCAGGAAAAATCAAAACAAAAAGTTCATATAAACGAAGCTCCCTCGGAAGATCCTAAACGGCTTTATTTTGAAAATACAGGGTGTTAAAAAAAAGATTTTTCTACCTATATATCTAACTAAAAAACAAACAGCAAAAAAGTTTTTCTGAATTTACCAGTGGCGTGAGTAGGGGTAACTAATGAGGTTTAATTAAAAAAACAATAATGGCGCATACCAATAAAAACTCCCAGGCCGGATATTTTGGTAAGTAATAGAGATATTTTAATTCTGTAAAATCCAGTTCATAGAACGCTAAGAGAGCTTCAGTTTTAGGTATAAATTGATTTTAAATAGGTCAATATGTAGATGGCGCTGCGCTCAATAATTTTTTTTCGATGGGAGGATCTTTCTTGTGTAGCAAATCTTGTAAAAAATGCATTTTTAACCAAATTTCGTTCTATGAACTATGTCGATAAATCTAGCCATTTTTAATATACAGAGTGGGTCACTCAAAACAGTTTCATCCTGTTTTTCAGCATTAATAATTGGATTTTAAGAAAATGCTAAAACAGGTCGATGTGTCGATGTGTCAACCCCCTCTCCTGCACTTCTCCAACACCTTAATTTTAAATAGGTAATGTAGCATGTATTGCACATCACTGAAAAGGTAATTTAATGGGGGATTCAGAAATATTTCTGTACATTCCGTTACTTAAATTGTATCGCCCTCTAGCGGGATAAAAAACTACTACGTCTTATAGAGTGTGACACTACAATGTGTAGTACATCATTAAAAAGGTAATTTTATGGGGAATTTAGAAATATGACTGTTCATTGCGATATTTTTAATTGTACCGCCCTCTATCAGGATAAAAAACTGTACGTATTATAAAGTGTGACACCATATTTGAAAGCAAACTAAATTACTAATTCAATGCAACACATAACATTAATATAAATATCTTCCATATTGCACTTGCAATTGTTTGAAAATTAGTTATGCATTATTTTAAACATTATTGCTAGCTTTATTTTCTTGCAAGTGCAATATGGAAATATTTATATTAATGTTATGTGGTGCATTGAATTAGTAATTAAATTAGCTTTCAAATGAAGTGTCACACTTTATAATACGTTACAGGTTTTTTTATTCCGATAGAGGCCGCTAAAATTAAAAGTATCGCAATAAACAGTCATAATTCTGACTTCCCCATAAAATTACCTTTTCAATGGTACATTTCTTATTTAAAATTAAGGGGTTGGAGAAGTAGAAGGGAGGCGGTTGACACATGATAGATGTCTGTATTGTGCAAATGTGTTCAATTTAGAACAAAAATCGACCTGTTTTAGCATTTTCTATAAATATAATGATTAATGCCGAAAAACAAGATAAAACTGTTTTAAGTGACCCACTCTGTATATCAAAAATGACTAGATTTATCGAATTAGTTTATAGAACAAAATCTGTTTAAAATGCATTTTTTACCAGATGTGCTATATAAGAAAGATCTTCCCATCGAAAAAGAAATATTGAAATATTGAGCGCAGCGCCATCTACATATTGACCTATTTAAAATTAATTTACATCTAAAACTGAAGCTCTCTTAGCGCTCTATGAACTGGCTTTTGCAGAATTAAAATATCTCTATTAGTTACCAAAATAATCGGCCTGCGAGTTTTTATTGGTACACCCTGTATATGAACTTTTTATCTCAAAGTTTGACCATATAAGTACTTAATGATCACGCTCTATAGGTATGTAAATAGAAGGAGGTTTACCAATCATGGAACAAATAATGTTCCCATTATTCTTTTATCAACAGCTTCTGCGCAACACTCAACGTATTTTTAGTAGTAAATTCAGAAAAAAATCGAGAAAAAAATAGTTAATCGATTTTTTAGAAATCAAATTTATTACTCAATTTGCAGTTTGTAAAGGGGCGTCCATTAATTACGTAAGGTATTTTTGAGGTTTTTATGACCCCCCCCTCACCTCTGGTGAGACTTCGTAAGATTTTCCTCAACTCCCAGCCCCCAGGGATGGAAAAACCTAAGAATTCAAAAATATATAAGTAGGTTTTTAGGTTATTTAGGTTTTTTTTAGGTTTTATAAGGTTTTATAGGTTTTTTAAGGTTTTTAGTTCATAATATATCCAAAATTATTGTTACTATCATTAATATCAATATCAAGAAGTAATTATAACCTGTGATGAAATGTTTGCACGTTTTTATATACACTCATTTTTGCACCCTTTCTCTTGAGAGTTGATTAGTAAAATTGTGAATTCTTAATATTTATCTAAAAATCTGATGTGTCCAACACATGACTTTCCTATCTAGTTATTATAGGCGTTTTCTGATTATTTTGTTCAACCTATTGCAGCACCTCTATAAATGTTTAGACGATAAAGTAAATATATACATTTTCCACATACATCTACCTCAAAACAATTTTCCATATTCATTGAAAACGAAAATACTGAAAAATTTAAATTTAGCACTTTTCCTATAATTTTTCCATTACGGTCCATTTTAGAAAAAAACATTTATAAACAAAAATTATAGAGAACGATATCGCAAACAACTTTTAGTTCAACAATTTTCATAAAAATCAGAATTTTGCACATTTTGTCAAATTTCTCGAATACGGACCATTTCAGGAAATTTTGACATAAAGCAAAAATTATAGATAATAATATTAGAAATAATTTTTATTTGAACAATTTTTTTCTCCAAACATAAATAACAGATATATTCCATAAAATATAAAAACGGCCCCCCCCCCCATAAAGTACCCCCCAGATGTTCCGACTTTGTCCAAAATCTAATCATTTCCCGTCAGGCCGAAATAAAACTTAAGTTTAAAATTTAATGTTTTTTTCTTTATCCGTTTTTGAGTTTTCTTCAAATTTCGAAATTTACACATTTTCTCAAATATCTCGAATACGGTCCATTTTAGAGAAATTATGTATAGGATAAAAATTATAGAGAATTATATTACAAATAACTTTTGTTTGAACAATTTTTATAAAAAAATATTTTTTTACATTTTACATTTTACATTTTTTACATAAATTTTGTATAGAACAAAAATTTTAGACAATAATATAAAAAGTAACTTTTATTTAAAGAATTTTCTTCCCCAAACGTAAATAACAGATATATTCCATAAAATATAAAAATGACCACCTATAAAGTACCCCCCAGATGTTCCGACACTGCCCAAAATCTAATCAGCACAAAGGAACAAAGCTTAAGTTTAAAATTTGGTGTTTTTCTGTGTATCGGTTCATGAGTTATGCGACACACAGACACACACACACACAGACACACACACAGACACACACACACAGACACACAGTCATCATCGCGAAAATAGTCAAAACGGATTCAGGGGACCTCAAAACGTAAAAATCCGTCGAAAACTCGAGGTCGAAAAAATCCTATACTTTCCTTATATCTGTATACAGATAGGAAAGTAAAAAACCTAAAAAAAAACAAAAATTGTAGATTTTTGACTCTTAGGTTTAAAAAAAAAACTAAAAAACCTAGGTGCAAAAAACCTGTACCCGCCAACCCTGCACCCCCCTTCCCTAATCTCACGTGAGAGTTTTTAAAATTTGTGTTTTGGGTGTAAATGCGTGGGATTATTAAAAAAAAAAAAACAAAAACACAATATGTTCTATTTCTTTTATTTAGGATTAGCAAAGACTAGTATTTGAGAATATATAAAATTTCTAGAAACATTCTTTACTTTAATTTAACTTTACTTTCACGCAATTTTACACCGTCAATTAGGTCAGATTTATAAAGACCCCCTCCTCCCCCAAGTGAGATTTGGAAAGATTTAGCTTGATCCCCTCACCCCTTGAACATCTCACGTAATTAGTGGACGCCCCCTAACGCAAATGAAGTATTTTAGAATTTAAAAAATGTATTTTACTTATTCGTTCTAAATTTAGTACATAATTAAATAATTACGGAAAAGTCTCCAATGCCACCTGATTGTGAAGGTCATTTAATGTTTGATTATTTTTTTTAACATTTGATCCATGCTGTTCAGAAAAGGGAAAATGAAAAATTATTGAAAAACAATAACATTTGAAATATTACATTTAGGCGTAAATTTATTTAGTATGTATATACTGTGCGGTGTATATGTATGGAATAAATTAAATTTTTACCGTTTTACTTTTGGAATAAAAAAACCTGAAACAGGTCTATTTCTATTTTTAATTTGACAATTTATAGTATAAAAATATTACCCCCTCTTGTATCTTCTCTGAAATATGAGCGCCCCCTCGAAAATTTTAAATACAAAATGGGTTCGTATAGCCCTTTTTTGAAAGGAATTTTAATTATCTCTTCAACAGTATATTTTTTTACATTAATTAAAAATTGTTAAATGTTGACGCAAACACAAAACTAGGTACTCAGAATTATTTGTAGAATAAATTGAAAAATACACTCTTAAATATTATGTAGCATACTTTTCTTTATTCTACGTAAAGTTTTGTGATGGACATTATTATATATAATTCTTCATTTGCAAAATTAATTTTCACAGTTATTATTGCACCAAATTTAAAAAATAAACTTCATATTGCTGAAGAGAGAATTAAAATTCTTTCAAACAAGGTGTCACACCACCCCCTTTCTCATTTAAAATTTACGAAGGGGAACAAGGTAATGTTTTCATATCATAGATTATAAATTTTAAGAATACCTAGAAATCGACCTGTCTCAGGTTTTTCTGCAAAAGTACATAATAACGCTAAAAATAAATTCATTCCATACAAATGGACCGCACTGTATGTTTATTAATTATTTGTATGGGTTTCATTTTTTTATTTTTTTATTTACGTAATAATAGCGATAAAAAAATAATTTATTATACTAATACTCAAGAAAAAAAAAAACAATAAATAATAATTTGTCCACTTACCAAACTTTCGCTGAGAGTTTCCCTTTTAATCCTAGTAAAATTTCCCTCAGACGCGCTCAAACAAAAACAAAACACAATCAAAACAAAAGCACTCCGATACCACCTCCACCTTTTCCGACATACACAAAAATTGCTAACACAAAAACACATTTTGAATTAAATTAAATTTTGTTTTTTCCACTAGTAGAGATCACAAAAAATAAGAAAACAATCCCGGAGTAAGGGGTCGTACTTCGGAGTTACCGGACAATCTGACTAAAAAATTGTTATCATTATCATTTTTATACAGATAGGAAGTTGCGAGACCGCATCACTTTTCCTAGCGGCGGTTTGTAAAAAGTCCAAGTCCATATTTCTTCTTATCCATTTTTTGGCGTAATTTCTGAGTAGAGAGGTCGGATATTTTGAAACAATCGAGTTATCGAACGAAAGCAGAGACGCCGAAACGCCGCAAACCGATCCAGTAGGCTTCGAATCGTCGTAGCCTACTCGATGTTTACGAACCGACTAGCGGCCGCTGAAAAGTTCTGTGTTGAGCTTTAGTCGATTCATTATTTCAGATGAGGGAAGACAGCAACTGCACATAAGGTCGTCGCTCACGTGGTTTAGAACAATTAACTTTTTAAAAACAAGGCCGATAACACTTCTCTGCTAATTTTTATTTTGTTTAGTAATCCTTTCACTTTTTTACAAAAACAAAAAAATATAATTTGGTTAAAATAGGAATAATAAAAATATCTCTCAAAAGTGGAGTCCACGCATAAGGGAAAATCTTCATTACAAAAAAAAATCAAGGAAGAATTGCCATTACAGCAGAAATAAAAGTTGGAAATGCTTTTGCCACTTCTCCTACTTTGTACTCTGCAATTGACAGTTGTTCCGCGGAATTAACCGAAGTAAACGCTTACCATAGGCGTAGAACATTATTTTATAGATGCTAATAACAATTTCGGGTAATCATGTAAAAAGTTTATTAAAAAGAAATACTATTGTATTATAGCTAATTTAACTTAGGCGAGCAACAAAGCTGTCAACTTTGTTGCTCGGTGAGCGACAAAGCTGTCACTTAATGTCAGTTCGCAGAAAACGTCAACTTTGCGGTTGGATTTCGAAGCACAAAAGCATACTTTGGATAGTGATCTTAGAGAAAGTACTTTTCAGCAGTTCATTCGTTGAATATTTAGTTGAAGCATTGAAGCAAAAAAGTTTGGAATTTTTTAGACTAAGACGGATAGGAATGCGGTTTTTTGCATTCGCTTCCACAAATATTTTGGAAAAAATGTCCCTACTTTTTATCTTATACAAACCGGAAATTGCATTGCTGCAGCCAAAAATGCATTCAAAAAATGCATTTTTTGAGACGGCTTTTGGAAGATTAAAGAACTTTGTAAATAAGAGTCAAAACTGACCCAAATCGGGCTGCCGGGAGTTTTTGAGGTCGCTGATCACGATTATGATCTTCAAATTGACCCACAGCCGACCTGGAGCTCAGGAGCGCCGATGAACGTCATCTCCGTGGGACTCTCCCGAAATTTATGCGGGGAAGGAGAGAAACTCAGCGTCCGGTGGTTTTTTGGGTCGCGGAATTCAAATATGGCATCGGCGAACACCCCCGGATACCTGGTATGCCTGAACCTGGACGTCATCCCCAAGAATTTTCCTAACAAAATCGTCAAAACAACCCAAACATTATTGTGGGGGCATTTTTTAGGGCGCTCAATCCAAATTTCACGTCATAAACGACTCTCTGAACACCTGTTGCACCGGAAATTGGACGCCGACCTCATCTCCGAGGGTTTTTCTCACACAATAGAAGAAGACTAACCCAAAATCGTTATGGGGGCTTTTTTGGGGCGCTGAATCCGAATTTCACGCCGAAAACGACCCTCCTAACACCTGGTGCACCAGAACTTTTATCTTGACATCGATGTCATTTACATGAATGTCTATCAAACCTGATGTTTTAGAGACGGATGTCAATACTGTAATAGCTTTGTGGAATTGTTGATTCTAGTTAAATTATGTGAGGAGGAAAGAAATCGAATGAATAGAAAGTCAATATTTATGTAATTGGAGTTTAAAAAATGTATATTGAACTCAAATCAAATACAATCTAACTGTAACTTTACCTTACCTCATTAATTAATAACTTTCATTTTTAGATACATAACTAAATATCAAATTCATGTAACACATCGCTAGATGTTCATTTTTTTCGTCATCGACATAGGTACAACATCTTCCTCATCTAAGGCCTCTCTCTCTCACTCTCTCTCTCCCCTCCTCTCTCTCTTCAACTGAATATCTTTCAGTATTGTTGCAAGTTGAGTCTACAAAAATGTGTATTCTTGGGCGCAGGTTTTGTGTCATTTCCACAGGGACCAGTGTGTCGCCTTCCTTTCTCCATCCCCAACTTTTTCGAGGGCCCCAGGCATCAATGAAATAATTTTACACTTATGAGACGATTTTAGGTTAGTCTTTTGCGATCGTGTCTGGAAAATGCTCGGAGACGACGTTCAGCCCGAGGTTCCGGTGCACTAGGTGTTGGGAGGGTCGTTTTCGACATGAAATTCGGATTCAGCGCCCCAAAAAAACCTCCATAATGATTTTGAGTACGTCTTCTTCGATTGTGTGAGAAAACCCCTCGAAGGCGACGTTAAGGGTCAGATTCCGGTGCACTAGGTGTTCGAGGGGGTCGTTTTCGATGTGAAATTTGGATTAAGTGCCCAAAAACGCCCCTACATTGATTTTAGGGTTGTTTTTGGCGATCTTGTCAGGAATATTCTCGGGGAAGACGTCCAGGTTTGGGCGCACCAGGTATGATCAGCGACCTCGAAAACTCCCGGCAGCCCGATTTGGGCTAGTTTTGACTCTTATTTACAAAGTTCTTTAATATTCCAAAAGCCGTCTCAAAAAATGCATTTTTTGAATAATTTCCATATCAAAGAAAGAAATGGTGCCACATTTTAAATATTCCACTTGAAATTAATCATGAATTATGAGGAATAATTTGATACAAAATCGATTACAAACAAAAATCGTTCAAGACTAAGACTGCTATGATTTGCTTTGCCTTTAGCACCCTCAAAACCAGATACACCAAAGATAATAATACTTAGTAATGTTGTTATCACACCTCCAGATTACCTGTGTTATATTTTAATAATATAGATCAATATTTCAAAGACGGTCAGTCATCAAATGAATTTGAATCTTACATAAGGAACAACGCAACGTTTCGATAATGGATTTTTAAATAAAATTAATGAAACTCTAGTTAACAGTTTATCTATTAGAATGAAAAAACCTACGGTTTTTTAATACAAAAACAGAAAAGTAAAATTTGCAAAACCGACTTCAAAAAAGGAGGAGGTTATCAATTCGTCGCGATATTTTTTTTTTATGTATGTTCAGCGATTATTCTTTAACACGGTGTCCGATTTCAATAATAAGGGGGTACTTCAGGGGTGGTCCCATATAAATTTAGTTAAAATCTAATAATTGGGTCCATGAGAAAATCCTCAAACTCTTCATTTTTTATGTATGTTTAGCGATAATGCTTTACCACCTTGTCCGATTTATATGATTCTTTTTTTGTTAGTAAGGAGTTACCTCAGGGGTCGTCCCATATAAATTTGGTTAAGATGTGGTGATGGCATCTGCACGTTTTTGAAGTCGGTTTTTTAATTTTTTTTTAATTTCTAATACTTGTTATAGAAACTAGTAAACATTTGTAAAAATACATTGTACTTTGTACGGAAATAAACAAATATATACAAATAATGATGGTAGGTCGGGTTATCCGGGTTTTCCTCACCTGCAAATAAAATGGCACTAGCGGTTATCTTTAAGTCGGCCCAGAGTGCCATAGCAAATAATAACTATTCTTGCCACTCACAAGCTCTTCTTGGGGTTTAACTCATGTAGGGTGAAGTGTAGGAAAATCTATTATTATTGTTGGATTGCCATTGATTTGATTTATTTTTCTTAGGAATTCTTAGTAAATATAATAATATAAAGCTTTGTATGGAATTTATTTTATACCTCATAATTATATGTAATAGAATTTTACATTTTTATTGTCATTTCATAATAAAGAAGAAAAATTTTAATTATAATTAAAAGGAAAATTTACTTAAGCAATTATCTTTTTCTAACCAATACAAAATGGAGCCATGAAAATTTCTATAGTTTATTTTATTTTTTTTGTGAATGAAAAATATGTACCTTTGATTTAATTATTTTCTCAAAAATTGAGAAAATCTTTGCGCAAACAAAATTTTGTTATTTTTCGCCACCAAAATTTGGCCAAATTTTAAAAAGTGGCCTCAGAGGAACATATTTAACGTTTACCTACACGTACAGTTTTTTTATTTAATTAAAAATGAAAAAAACGATCTGAAATTTTGCATGGTTATATTTCGTATTAGATAGAAAATAATAATTGCTAAAGTAAATTCTCCTTTTAGTAAAAAAGAATCCCGCCAATTTTCAAATAAATATATTACTGGTAACTACATTACCGACAGAGTAATAGCGTAGTTAATAATACAGGTAACTACGTTACCGACAGAGTAGGATTAGTTCAACCACCCGCACCCACAGGTTGCTGCAAGCAAACTTGTTGCCAAATTTCTACAAAGACACGGCAACTCTTAACTATCCTTCCTCCATGGGGAGATCCCTCCATGTGAGATTGTTTAGGACTGGTAACGAAATGAACATATATCTTTTAAATGGGTTTATTAATTATCTAAAATGTGGCAGTTATAATTTAATACCTGCTCTTCTGTAAACATAATATCAAAATGTCACTTAAATACTTATTATTTCAAAATACATTGGAACAATATTTACAATTTTGTAGAAAAGAATACACACTATTTTCCTTATTTAATTGTTGTTGTCTCGTACACTATAAAAATTATTAAAAATAGTAATGTTCTTAGTTTCTTTTGATGAAATATTGGTGTTTATAATGTGTTATTTTTCTTCTCGTTGTTTTCACATTTGATTTCGTTTGTTACATAGATTATGATTAGTAGAAATTATTAAACTACCATTATTTTTAAAAATTGGATACTGACGTATTTTTTACTTGCAATCATTATTTGTTTTTATTTGTGG